GCGAAAGATGGGCAGGAAATCAGCCAACTACTCGCAGAAAAACACTGACCCATGTCTCTGTCAATACACACGCAACCACAAACCATTCAAGTAAATGAAAATGATTGGACGGTGACCGCAATTAGTCAGTATACGCGGGGAAAGTCCATTCTTTGATATCACCCCATGCGCGGTGATATCAGCGTGTTCTATTCAAATTTAGGGGGTTTGGGTGGGGAACACGCACGATTTCCCTTTGTATGTATGACAAATAATGCACTGTTACCCCCTCGCCCGATATACACGATAGCATGCCTCGCTGGCGCTCGGCCTGCTATCGTGATATTGGGCTCGTGGACAGTGCATTATTTACTACATATGATGCACCATTTACCGCCACACGCCGATTGTGTGTCTAAATGTTTTATATTTGACCTAGAACTTTTTCGTACAGGCGGGGACTTCCATTAACACTCCCGTAGCTTGGCAAATATTAGTATAGAGGTAAAGCGGTAAAGGAAACGCTGGCCAACTTTTTGTTTGTCAATTTGTATTACAATGTTACCCGGCGAATTGACCTAGATCTAACGAAAAAGATATGTGATGAAATTTAGTCTCTCTCTCTCTCTCTCTCTCTCTCGTGTGTGCTTGTGTGTACCTGAACTGCTGGATGGAGGGGGGGGGGGGGGCGAGATAGTGACAAATAGCCAAAAACATTCATCCAGAGTTCATGAAGGCCTATACCAACATAACAATATTATATTCGTATTGCTAAGTTAAATCAAATCTATGATATCCTTCTTTCCGTGGCAGCGATCTAGTTGTCAGTTTTTCTCCCTCCCTCTCTCTCTCTTGGTCGAATGTGTGTGTGTGTGTGTGTGTGTGCGCGTGTGAGACACAGTGATGGAATAAGAGTCAAAACAACCAAAACATTCAACCAAAGAAGGCCTCTCACATCAGCTATTTTGTTTGCATAACCCAGTTAATTTGCGTGCTACTTTGATACAGGACGTCGGATTAAAAATAATGGAAACCCGTATTTCGCTTCGGATGATATAAACTTACTTACATCATATTACTATATGAAAAATTATGCCTGCATGTTCAGTCTCATTGTTTATTGTGGACGCGAATTTGGACTTTGTCATCAGACATGATTAAGTCCGAGTAAATAAAACTTAAACAAACTTCTATCCGTGGCATCGGTTAAGCTTTCTCTCTCTCTCTCTCTCTCTCTCTCTCTCTCTCTCTCTCTCTCTCTCTCTCTCTCTGTGTGTGTGTGTGTGTGTGTGTGTGTGTGTGTGTGTGTGTTTGGGAAGCAGTGCATGTCTAAACAGCTAGGTGAGGATGAGAAATTGTTGAAATAATAGCCCAAATTTAAACAATAAAGCTTCTCAGGCCAGTGAGTCATTTAATTGGCATCACCTAGTTAATCTAAGTCCTCCTTTGATAAAGGACGTCATAGTCAAAACCCTATGACGCCTTGAATAACATGAAATTTCTTCCAGTATATGACTAACAAAAAGCGTTGTTTGTTTACCACCTTTTACTTACCATATTGTTTGGAGACCATGTCTTTCTACGAACCAACTTTAACCTGTATTGCTCACTAAACATTAGATGAACAGAATGTTGATGATATTGGATGTGCACAGTAATAACTCATTCAATGGCGGGGGATAAAATAACTTGTCACTTATAATTAACAATTATTCATAAGTTGTATGGTTCTGTTTGAAAAGTATATTATGTGAGCAGTTCTGTATTATAGATCTCAAAATAAAAATCCTGCAAAAATGGGCCTCTCGATTATTTAGAGTAAATACTCTAACCGTATTTTTTTGGACAGAATTGATGGCAGCCATCTTGTATTTATTAAAAATTGGATAGATTTACTCATATCAAAACATTGTTTGAATTCCTGACTGTGATTAATTGAATGAATTTGATATTGGAAGGTATTATCTCAAAATGTACTTGTATCTTGACTTCGGCCGTTTGCTTTTCTAAAATTGCTTATATTTGAGGTATTTTTTTAAATATCTTCTGTTGTGTTTAATACACTTTTAAAATTTTCTATGACGATACTAGTATGTTCTCAGACTCCCTATGCAATTTTATGGCTGTCAACCCTGCAAAAAGAGAGGTATGAATGCTTGTATATTGCTTGGTAGAAAAATGAGTTTGAGGTGGTCTAATAAAACTGGGCGTGGCTCGTTAGGTTGAGGGTTAAACTGAAACTAAGTTATATATCCTGAATGATTTATTTTAAATGCCATTAGTTTTGAAATATTTGCACATTAAGTTGCTTTATTGACAGAAGCTGAAAATCCAGCCAGGAATGGCCAAAACAGCAAATATCAAATTATAATTACATCTAATGATTTCTTTTGGGACTGTTTCCTACAATGTGTGAAACAATATAATAAATTTAGTTGAAATCCGTTGACCCCCACCTTGCCACCCTCTGACTGGTCCTATCATGGACGCATACTTAAAAAGCAATTGTGAAATGATGATGGGCTGGTCAAGACAAAAATAGTGGCGAGAGAGAGAGAGAGAGAGAGAGAGAGAGAGAGAGATGACGCATTTATTTGTAAGTGGTAACATGTCAAGTCATAGCTCCAATCAGAAAACAGTTTGTTAAAATCGAAGGCACACTCAGTAATAGATGAAGAAATCACTTAGCCACAGACTCCAAATATCCTGCGTATGTACCAAAAAGAAAATAGCAACAAACAACGTACACCACAAACGGCTTCCGAGAATCTGACCAGGAATGTCAACCTGTTAAGAGGCGTAGCCACCCAACTTCAGGAAGGTTACATCAGACCCTTGCAGAAGATGATAGAAGGAGGGGAGAAAGGAAAAATAATGCTGCCGTTTAGAACGAGGTGATGGATTGTCCTTCTTCCTGTGTTGAAGTGCTATATACAGTTACATCCTTAAATTATATTTTCAATCTAAGTTAGATAGCTTTCCTATTTTAATCAAAATCAGAAATTAGTGCATGTTACTTTAAAAAATCAATGACAATAACTTAAACTAGCGTTGATAGCACGGCATATCATACAGGTACCATTTTAAACCTTTGTTAACCTTTGTGAACTACAAGTGTTACACGTTGTATTTTTTGTATTATAAAACCTATGGATAAGATTTATGTCAGTGTCATGCAAAACCTGATGCTTACTTATCTTTTTTCTCTACCGTTATTAGATATTACAAACTGGAAATAATAACCGAGATTTGGTGTGAGCTGACTTCCAAGTTGGAGTGCATAAAGGAGACATTGCAATGTACTCACGGTCTAGCCACGGCGTGTCATTCCAACGACAACGAAGTCGAAGTCGTCAGCTTGTTGAACAGAACGAAAAAGGTAAGTTTTTGTTGTATCGTGTGTAAATATGTCAACTGTGAGACATTCATAACGCACCATTACTCCAAAAACGTTCAGATGTGATGTTGTCGTCATAAGTAGATTACGGAATGTTGTGACGTCATGGTTAAATGATTGTTATGTCACGCCAAGGGTAAAGGAGCAGGGGGTAATGATGGAAAACAATATATATAAATGCGACACTTGTCTTCTGATGATCGCACTGTGTTCGAGCTTTAATAACTGAAACAAAAACTAAATAATGCATGATGTATTATTGAAACTGAAAGGAAAGAAATTTCTGCCCAAATATTTGACCAAATTGTTTTATTTACAAAATGACCCGGCAATTACTCTAGTTCAGGCGATAAAGAAATTTGACGGAACTTTCCCACAACAAGTGCCCTGATTGCTGTAGGTGAGATGCATGGTATGGCGAGTCGCAATCGAATGGAAATTGCGACGTTGGTTTTCAGTTAGTAGGTGATAAAAAAAGGAAACCTCTTACATATGGAATAATATGTTGAGGAAAATAATCTGTTAAAGCATTTTTTCACTAAGGGTCAACTCAAATTGTTTTTGTGCAGAGACCTGGCAATAATTTTTCAGCACTTTGGTCATTGTTTTCCGAATGTTTACCAATTAGAATCTGAATGGCAGTCCCTTTTGCAACATTGAACATTACAGCATCTGCATTGCCTGACTATATTTTGCTTATTTCAAGTGACAAATGTTTACCTAATTATTTATAAACCAATTACAGAAACTGGACAACATGGCCAAAATTTGGCTGGAAAAGGGTCATGCATTCAGATCTGATCTTTGACCTTTTATTGTAGGTCAAGATCTCATGGCTGCACGACACTGTTGAAGACATACTGGACACAACGTGTCGACTAATGGATATTTGGGCCACTTTCTTCTGTGCTCGTGTCCAGTGAGGAAAACGGAAATTTTAGAATTGAAACAGAAACTTCCAGAGAAATATATGCCACCCGTTTTGGAAATTCTTCAGGTGATTCGATACGCTGACATTGATCACAAGGTACTGGCTTCAACGCAAAATGAAACTTTAATTAAAAGCTAACTGTCTTTATCTTATTTTTAAATTGTTAAAACAATTTTTGTTTTAATTTTGTCTTCCGTTTGTATTGACATGAAGAAACACGGTGTTTTCCCGACCGAGCATTATATATGTTTCCAACACAATTGGGACACCAATTACGAGAATTAAGGAGCGGAGATAAGTGTGTTGTATTATGCCGCAGATATAAAGTTCGTAAGATTAAATTAACGAAGAAGCTTTTCGTTTTAATGAAATTCCCAAGAGTTTCCCAGGCTTGTAGCAACCCAGTTTCCAGCGGTTGGGGTGTCCACTTTGTTCCAAACATTGACATGGTAAAGCAAAACAGCAACAGTATACCAACACAGTCAGGTATTTTGAACTAGTGGCTGTATACTTTACACAGTTTTGTAATAAGAAACGGATTTTGATGGACTTTTCACGAAAGGGCTAGAATGGGCCTCCTTGAATTTTCATTCTGATCAGGATCACCATCTGCATTGATAGATTTTAAAAATGATGCTTCGCCATTGCGGGAAAGGGTCAATGGCCTTGAGCCCAAAAATCACGAAAGGTGTTTTAAGGTCGTTGTGCAAAGGGTTTGCTCACAACTGCACTTGTACCACAATTTGGATATGATGCAATCTTACTGAGTTTGTAGATTGTGACATTGGCCAAGGAGGCTGTCATGGAGATAATTAATTGATTAACGAAATACAATGCCCAGAATATTTTATTTTCAGTTGGTATACTTAATTCAAATATAATTTGCAGTGAATGTCCAAATAAAAATGTATTATATATTTGGAAAGAACTGTGTATCCCCTTTTGCATTTTTTTAAATTTCCTTTTCTGGGTGTTTATTCTGAAAGAAAAGAAATGTATACTATGAACACCTTGGCCCCTTCATATTAGAGTACTTTTTGGTGCATTCATTCATGTACAAACATTTTTTTTTTCAGTGTTAATATTTTAATAAAATGATTTTAATAGAAATGATAAAGTGAAATGGATCATAATTACATTAGAAGTAATATACTTTAAGAACTCCGAAATTTTTGACATCTTAAATGCTTTCACATATTGCCATGCATATCAAATGTTGAATAACGCATAATAATAAGCATACATGAACAGACTTATGTAAACCTTGCATATGCTATGTACATATCTTAAAGTATTGTATATTGTCCTTTACCCAATTTTTTATTAGATTCTTTTGATATAGGCATTATCTGACGTCAAATTGCTCAATTTATAATTTATATTTATATTATTTCTTTTTCAACCACCGATTTATGTGACCCTTGGTACGGTCTTTAGCGTTAATTTCCGGTTGCTGCCTAGCTATCAATGAGTGAGGTAAGGATGGAGATTCGTTTCAAAACAAAAAAAGAACATGATCATTACCAAACGTATAATTGATTATTTTTCTTTACAGAATAATGCCGTTGGTCATTTTCAGTAAGTAGTCAAACCTTTGGTCTGCCTTGCAATAGGGAGTTAAGACGAAACAAATTAATTAAAAAATAAAAAACGTTCAAGAATATTAAATAATCCAATTGTTCTATAATACTTACTCCTGCAGTGAAATCCGTCCCCACTGTAACCAGCGTGGCAAATACAATATTGGTAAGATGCTGTATCGCAGTTCTCATTGTTGTCAGGCAATTTCGTAAAAGTGTTCATGTCATAGCATGTGGCGTTTTCCCCGCATTTTGCTGAAAAAAAAAAACGCATGCAGCCACTGGCTCGCAACAGAATACTTGGACATTTTGAACCAACGTAACAGGCGATATCATATGAATTTTTCACATAAGTTCCACCTAAACACTGGAATAAGTTAGTTGTGCTATAGTGTATAAACAGAGATCTAAAGCCAAAGGACCTGTTTTTATGAGTTCCGCCTAATTACTTGAATATGCTAGTTACATTATAGTTAATCAGCATATATCTAGAGCCATATGCCTTGATATCAGTCTATAGAAGTTACTCTTACATATCCTCTGGTATCAATATTTGTATTGGTCAATTTGCTTTGAATTTTGTATTTGTATTTGTATTTTTGTTGCACGCTTTACAACTTACAGCTGTCAGCTGTTATCAGTCAATTCTGAGATACAGAATGTATGCATATTAGAAGGGTACGGCTTACCTTTTTTACACCATGTTCCGTGATAACCCTCGGGACAAATGCACGACGAAACCGAATTTGTAGTATTCAATACACACGTTGCACCATTCCAGCAGTTATTTAACTGACACTCACCTGAAATGAGATATTGCAAGGCTAATAAAATGGTAGGCATGCTCTTTCAGTTGAAATTATTCAATTCTCATAATTTGAGCATTAACTTAGACAGGGTAAGGTAAATCCCACTGAAATCTGTGAAATTCATTTTGTACATAATTTGCACCAGACACTTTATTGCGTACTTATGCTCAGCTTTTTTTTTCTCTCTTCAGAATTAAAAGCACTGGAACTGGACGCTGTCAATTCTGCATTAATAATGGACCACTTCGCACGATCGACGAATCAAACAATGATGACATTCAATTCACAAAAAAAAAAAAAAAAAAATCTAAAAATAATAAATTAATTAATAAATAAATTAAGCAAAAACTCTTGGGAAGACAACACTGTTAATGGATAAATTGTATTAAATGAAGCATAATGTGCTGATATCAATTGTTGCAATAGTAAAATGCTTCCTAACATTTTGTTGAGCACAACTATTTCCTGTTATTCACAAAGGATGGTTGTAAGTGTTACAAGGGCAGTACCTACTCAATTCGCATCTTTCTCCGAAAAAGTCACTGGGACAACTGCACTGGAAGCCAGACGGATCATCAACTTTTTCTTCGCATGTCCCATTATTATAGCAACTGTCAGGCTTGCATTCGTCTGAAGATAGATGTTGCAAGGCAATTTAAATGTTAGGTATGCTCTATCATCCTTCACTTACATGATGGGAATTTTTGCAATTCAAACAATTGAACAGGTAGATCATGCAAATCGTATCGTTTTTTACACTGCTAAGGCTTGTACGCCAAGTCTGAATGTTTTAAAAGTCCATCTACAGAGAGGTCTCCGTTGTGGTGCAGGAAGTCATGAGTTGCTCCTCATGGCCTGGTCATGCTAAAGAGCATTATAATAGTACCTGCTGCCTCCTTGTTTATTACTCAGCATATTGAGATTGAAGTAAGGAAAAGACCTGGTCATATGGTAGTGATGGTTATTGTAAATGCTAACTAAGAAAGGCACATACAGGGGTATACCGCAGCTTGGATTGCTTTCTCCGTGGGGAGATGGGAATGACTTAGAATTAAAAAGATACATAAAAACCAGGCATATAATTATTACAAACAAGCAATGCAATTAAAAAGCAAGCAAAATGCTGAGACGAAAAATGATACCGTATCTCAGACTTTCAAACATGCTATTGTGCATGAACTTGGATGCATCAAAATATTTATTTGTTTGTAAACCTTTATTTGTAAACCTTGGATATGTTATGTACATATCTTAAAGTAATGTATATTGTCTTTTACCCAATTTTTTTATTAGATTCTTTTGATATAGGCATTATCTGACGTCAAATTGCTCAATTTATAATTTATATTTATATTTTTTTTTCAACCATCGATTCATGTGACCCTTGGTACGGTCTTTAGCGTTGATTTCCGGTTGCTGCCTAGCTATCAATGAGTGAGGTAAGGATGGAGATTCGTTTCAAAAACAAAAAAGAACATGATCATTACCAAACGTATAATTAATTTTCCTTTACAGAATAATACCGTTGGTCAGTTTCAGTAAGTATAGCCAATCCTTTGGTCTGCCTTGCAATAGGGAGTTAAGACGAAACAAATTAATTTAAAAAAAAAAAACGTTCAAAAATATTCAATAATCCAATTGTTCTATAAGACTTACTCCTGCAGTGAAATCCGTCCCCACTGTAACCAGCGTGGCAAATACAAGATTGGTTAGATGCTGTATCGCAGTTCTCATTGTTGTCAGGCAATTTCGTAAAAGTATTTATGTCATAGCATGTGGCGTTTTCCCCACATTTTGCTGAAAAAAAAAACGCATGCAGCCACTGGCTCGCAACATAATATTTGGACATTTTGAACCAACTTAACAAGCGATATCATATGACTTTTTCACATAAGTTCCACCTAAACAGTGGAACAAGTTATTTGTGTTATAGTGTATAAATAGAGAGCTTGAGCCATAGGATCTGCTTTTTATGAGTTCCACCTAATCACTTGAATATGCTAGTTATATTATAGTTAATCAGCAGAAATGTATAGCCATATGCCTTGATACCAGTCTATAGAAGTTACTCTTACATATCCTCTGGTATCAATATTTGTATTGGTCAATTTGCTTTGAATTTTGTATTTGTATTTGTATTTTTGTTGCACGCTTTACATCTTACAGCTGTCAGCTGTTATCAGTCAATTCTGAGATACAGAATGTATGCATATTAGAAGGGTACGGCTTACCTTTTTTACACCATGTTCCGTGATAACCCTTGGGACAAATGCACGACGAAACCGAATTTGTAGTATTCAATGCACACGTTGCACCATTCCAGCAGTTATTTAACTGACACTCACCTGAAATGAGGATTACAAGGCTAATAAAATAGTATGCATGCTCTTTCACTTGAAATGATTCAATTTTCATAATTTGAGCATTAACTAAGACAGGGTAAGGTAAATCCCACTGAAATCTGTGAAATTAATTTTGTACATAATTTGCACCAGACACTTTATTGCGTACTTATGCTCAGATTTTTTTCTCTTCAGAATTAAAAGCACTGGAACTGGACGCTGTCAATTCTGCGTTAATAATGGACCACCGCACACGATCGACGAATCAAACAAAGATGACATACTGTTCAATTCACAAAAAAATCTAAAAATAATAAATTAATTAATAAATAAATTAAGCAAAAACTCTTGGGAAGACAACACTGTTAATGGATAAATTGTATTAAATGAAGCATATGTGCTGATATCAATTGTTGCAATAGTAAAATGCTTCCTAACATTTTGTTGAGCATAACTTTTTCCTGTTATTCACAAAGGATGGTTGTAAGTGTTACAAGGGTAGTGCTTACTCAATTCGCATCTTTCTCCGAAAAAGTCACTGGGACAACTGCACTGGAAGCCAGACGGATCATCAGCTTTTTCTTCGCACGTCCCATTATTATAGCAACTGTCAGGCTCGCATTCGCCTGAAGATAGATGTTGCAAGGCAATTTAAATGTTAGGTATGCTCTATCATCCTTCACTTACATGATGGGAACTTTTGCAATTCAAACAATTGAACAGGTAAATCATGCAAATCGTATCGTTTTTCACACTGCTAAGGCTTTTACGCCAAGTCTGAATGTTTTAAAAGTCCATCTACAGAGGGGTCTCCGTTGTAGTGCAGGAAGTCATGAGTTTGATCCTCATGGCCTGGTCATGCTAAAGAGCATTATAATAGTACCTGCTGCCTCCTTGTTTATTACTCAGCATATTGAGATTGAAGTAAGGAAAAGACCTGGTCATATTGTAGTGTTGGTTATTGTAAATCCTAACTACGAGAGGCACATATACCGCAGCGCGGATTGCTTTCTCCGTGGGGAGATGGGAATGACTTAGAATTAAAAAGATATATAAAAAACAGGCATATAATTATTGCAAACAAGCAAAAAGCAAGCAAACTGCTGAGACGAAAATTGATACGGTATCTCAGACTTTCAAACATGCTATTGTACATGAACTTGGATGTCGAATTGGTCTCTATACACTTACAAGTTTGACTCAGCTGCTTTTGAATGAGAAAGACGCACGTCATCATGGTGAGAGCAAGGCTTGGGCAGAACAACAATCCCATCGTTGCTTGCTTGATGTTAGATACAGTATTTTTATAGCACTTCTATGCTGGAATAAAAAAAGACATTCAGAAGATAGTGGGATAGTGGGAAATATTCAACATCATCGTACATGAATGACAATTATTTAAACTAAAGTGGGCTTGTTTTTCCGAAAACAACTTTCTCGAAGGCGTCACAATCATACTATTCTATGTATAAAGTGTTCTTCACGTGAACATTTCCAGCAAACAAAAGGTTCTGATCGAGAAGCCCTACGATCCCATGACAGAGTTCATCTTCTAAGATATTACAATACCCGATTATTGGCAAATACCAACTCTGCAAGTCGTTTCAGATTATCTAAATAACAGCTGTTTTTCGTTTAGCCCCTATTTCACACAGACCACGAATCCCACGAATCGCCAGGAATTGACAAATTTCAGGATTCGTGAGGATTCGTGAGATTTTGCCAATTTTCTGGTCTAATTCGACACGCTCACGATTCAGTTACGATACAGGTGCGATAGTGTTACGAATATTCGTGGGATTCGGCTGGAGTCGTGATATTTTGCCAATTTTCTGGTCTACCTCGACACGCACTAAGATTCAGTTACGATACAGGTGCGATAGTGGTACGAATATTCGTGGGATTCGGCTGGAATCGCACGAATATTGTCCAGAAATTAACTACGATTTTTTGGAATCCGGAGTTCGTGAACGGCTCAAAATGTTTGCCACGAATGCCCGATTGATCAAGAATTGCAAGAATTTACTACGATTATATTCGAATCTGTTAAGAACTGATTACGATTCAACCACGAATCCAGACATTTTCAATTCCTGGCGATTCGTGGGATTCGTGGTCTGTGTGAAATAAGGGCATCAAAGTTTTGGCCACCAATTCCTGTTGGTCAAGAAGTGCAACAACTGACTACGAATATATATATACGAATCTGTTTTAACAGAACTTCACTTCAACTTAAAAGAACTTCACGATCTGATTACGATTCAACCACGAATCGTAAAATTTGTCAATTCATGGCCATTCGTGGGATTCGTGGTCTGTGTGAAATAGGGGCATTGGCAGAAATGCTTATTATCCATTCTCAAAGAACATACCTGCAGGATCGACGAGCGTCCATTAGCACGCTCGCAGAATGGCAACGACTTTCATATCAATCTGTTTGATAGTCTATAGCGATAAATGCATGATGCAATCACTTGAAATAAAATTTGCTCTAAATTTGATTGACTCTATGAAATAATTTCATAAAACCGTGAATGTCTTTTCTCACACATTCACTTTTACTCTCTTAAAATAAAAAAAAAAGGCGGTTGTTAGAAGTGTGATCTCAGGCAATCGTCTCATTTATTAATCAGTCTTTGGCCTATAAAGGTTAATTGGATTCCTGACCAAGCTTAAACTAAATACATTAGAGAGAAAGCAATACACTGTACCAGAACCTGTGTTAGGTGCGGATCCAGATATAATTTCTAACAGTCTTCCAAATTATCTTTGTTGATCCATCCTAGGTTTTTGGACTTATTGCAACAGAAAATATTAAATGCCCGTCAATGTAAATATAAAAAATTCTGACTGTTTTCCGGAAGACCCAGAAGAAAACTTTGGTCTGCTCCTGGCTGAGACACATTTCACTAGTTATTTAACAAATATGGCCTCTTACAAGAATATTTTAACTTTGCTGACAAAACGATAAATGTTTTTTTTTCTTCTTGCTATGAATAACCAAATGTTATTATGTACCTCGTATGAAGTAATTTGAAGCTTTACAAAGCACCCCTTCTGGGACTATACTCTCTCATAATTTTGTCAGAATGTCAATTTTAAGAACATTTCGCAAACAGGCAGCAAAGTGACATCGAGTATCTAATTGCAAGATTTTCAACTCTCCCGATTGGAAAAAATGGCCAAAAGTAATTGTCTGCCTGTGACCACAACAACAAGCGTTGTTAATAGTAAATAAAGCTTGTTTTGGTGCTTTTGGACCAAGGTCTGTTAAGGGACAAAAAGTAAGGAAATCTATTCCTTCATCTTGGTCACACGTATATGTTTCATACAGACATCTGTCATTTTAAGACCATTAGAATGCACAGTGGCACAGTATATCTTGTGATAATCGTGGCACATATGAGAACCCATAAATTCACGACCATATATTGTTAAAACCAATTTTGCAAGGCATTTGCGTGTTCTGTAAATACCCGCTGTTTTCGTTTCGCAGTAACTCATATAATCCATTTCTCATAGAGAACATACCTGCAGGATCGACAAGCGTCCATTAGCACGCCTGTACAATGTCGATATATTTCATATCAATTTGTTTGATAGTCTGTTGCGATAAATGTAAGAGGAAATCGCTTGAAATTAAATTGAATTTGATTGTCTACGAAATAGTTTCAATAAATGGAAAATGCCATTTTTCCCTTTAAATTTCAAAAGGCGGTAGATGAAAGTTTGAACCAAGGTAATCATCTCCTGTATTAATTACTCTGGTCATATTTAGACTCATTGGGTTCCTGGCCCAACATGAACAACACATAATATTGTTTGAGAAGAACGTTCCAAAAATTTGGAAATCTTCATAGTTAACGTCAAGTGAATCAGCCAAGGCTAATAGAATTAAATCTTAAACCTATATCACTTACACCAGTTCTAAATAAAAATTTGGAGGCTTTTGTTACAAAGTGAATCCCAGAAAAATGCAGTAGATTTAAATCTGATTGTGTTCAGCTAGTGGGAGGAGTCCCTCAGGGCACTAAAGTAGGTCCCATTCTTTTCCTTGAAATGATCAATGACCTGAAAACTTGTTTTTCATTAAGTTAATGATACCTTCATTTACGAAATCTGCAAATTCGGCGAATGAACGCACCTACCATAAGCAATAGGTCAATTGGCTGACTGGGTCAACAAGACAAGATTAAGCTTAATGTAAGGAAGACCAAGCCGATGGCCATAAATTTTACTAAGAACTGTTATCTTACAATACTAAAATTGGAAATAGATGGCGAATGTGTAGAAAAGTTTAAAGTTTAAGATGCTTGGTGTTATTTTATCCCCAGACCTTAAGTGGGCTGAAAACATCCAAACCAAACCATGCTAAGACATGTTTAAAGCTCTTTATCTCAGACAGCTAAAGAGGAAAACACTGGACATACAAGATTTATTAATGATGATTGATGAGCAATCTGAATGTCTGGAGTCATTTCAAAAGATAACCTTGAGGATTATTTGCCCTGGTATCAGTTATGATAAATGCCTTAAAAGTTTGTAACATCGACACGCTAGACAAAAGCAGACATTTGGTGTATCAGAGGTTTTATACAAAATTACAAAAGTGTGAAAAGTTGGGTCATTTATTGCTTGAAAGAAATACCTGTCCTTTACGAAACAGCACCAATTTTACAACCAAGAGTGAAGACCTTCTAACGTTTTAAAATTCCTTTATTAATCATTGCCTTTTTAATTTGTAGTATTTTATAAAAAATTAATTGTTTTACAATTTAAAGTTTATTGTCAACCTTAAGGTTGCTTAATAAACTATTATTATTATTATTATTATTATTATTATTACTATTATTATTATTATTATTATTATTATTATTATTAAAAAGTAAGCACTACCCTCCACCAGAAACACCGAGAAATATTTTACTGTTAAGTGTGTNGTTATTTAACAAATATGGCCTCTTAAAAGAATATTTTAACTTTGCTGACAAAACGATAAATGTTTTTTTTTCTTCTTGCTATGAATAACCAAATGTTATTATGTACCTCGTATGAAGAAATTTGAAGCTTTACAAAGCACCCCTTCTGGGACTATACTCTCTCATAATTTTGTCAGAATGTCAATTTTAAGAACATTTCGCAAACAGGCAGCAAAGTGACATCGAGTATCTAATTGCAAGATTTTCAACTCTCCCGATTGAAAAAAATGGCCAAAAGTAATTGTCTGCCTGTGACCACAACAACAAGCGTTGTTTATAGTAAATAAAGCTTGTTTTGGTGCTTTTGGACCAAGGTCTGTTAAGGAACAAAAAGTAAGGAAATCTATTTCTTCATCTTGGTCACATGTATATGTTTCATACAGACATCTGTCATTTTAAGACCATTAGAATGCACAGTGGCACAGTATATCTTGTGATAATCGTGGCGCATATGAGAACCCATAAATTCACGACCATATATTGTTAAAACCAATTTTGCAAGGCATTTGCGTGTTCTGTAAATACCCGCTGTTTTCGTTTCGCAGTAATGCATATAATCCATTTCTCACAGAGAACATACCTGCAGGATCGACGAGCGTCCATTAGCACGCCTATACAATGTCAATATATTTCATATCAATTTGTTTGATAGTCTGTTGCGATAAATGTAAGAGGAAATCGCTTGAAATTAAATTGAATTTGATTGTCTACGAAATAGTTTCAATAAATGGAAAATGCCATTTTTCCCTTTAAATTTCAAAAGGCGGTAGATGAAAATTTGAACCAAGGTAATCATCTCCTGTATTAATTACTCTGGTCATATTTAGACTCATTGGGTTCCTGGCCCAACATGAACAACACATAATATTGTTTGAGAGGAACGTTCCAAAAATTTGGAAATCTTCATAGTTAACGTCAAGTGAATCAGCCAAGGCTAATAGAATTAAATCTTAAACCTATATCACTTACACCAGTTCTAAATAAAAATTTGGAGGCTTTTGTTACAAAGTGAATCCCAGAAAAATGCAGTAGATTTAAATCTGATTGTGTTCAGCTAGTGGGAGGAGTCCCTCAGGGCACTAAAGTAGGTCCCATTCTTTTCCTTGCAATGATCAATGACCTGAAAACTTGTTTTTCATTAAGTTAATGATACCTTCATTTACGAAATCTGCAAATTCGGCGAATGAACGCACCTACCATAAGCAATAGTTCAATTGGCTGACTGGGTCAACAAGACAAGATTAAGCTTAATGTAAGGAAGACC